AAGCTAAGGACTCTCTGCAAGCCCAAAGCAAATTCAAGTTCAAAGTTATACAAACATAAATACTAAGGCCACATAAGGTCTGATCTAAACAGGGAGGAGTTCGAAAATAAAGATTTTTGGTCGCAAGAACCTAGGCCTGAGCAGCATAAGGAGCACCAACAGAAGTGAAAAGCGGGATGAGAGGCTCGTCGGTCATAGGATCGACGTCAGTATGGGCAGACATGTCCTCCTCATCTTGATTCTCCACAGGAGAGGTCCGGTGAAGTGGAAGGCTGGAAGACGCTGACCTGGATCCATGAGCGTCGGGATCGTCCTCGGAGATTGGGGAGTCATGAACCCACTAATCCAACGAAACCCTGCAGGTTTCCGGGGTAACCTGAAAATCGGCTTCTCCGACCTCCATGACGTCCATAGCCTCGAGCTCCCTCTTCAGGGCCTCGAGGTTAGCCATGACCACTTCGACCTTGGACGCGGGAACAGGAACCCATCCTTCTCCATGCCTCCATACACCTCCAACAAACAAGCGGCCAGGGTTATAAACAAATTCTGCTTGCTAACGGCGACCGTCTCTTCGCAATGCTGCTTTATCTTCCCGAGCTTAGTCTTCTACCTTGCCCGCATCCTCTCCTCGATGTTCCTCTCGTTCTCGAATTTTAAGGGATCGAGATTCCTTTCGCCTCTTCTTCTCGCTCTTTAGCGTGAGCTTCAATGATCTGTTCACTCCCCGCTCAATCAGACGCTTCTCCGCGGATGTCGCCAACTCCCTCCGAAGACTGGCATTATCGTCAAGAGCCTTCTGCGCGTCAACTGAAATTGACTTGAACCGGGCGTTACTGTCAGCCAACCACTTCTTGTACGTCTCTGACCGCTCGTAGGCCTTCTGCACATTCCGGTCATAACGCTCGATAATGAAGTTGGTGCTTGCGACCATCTTCAAGCAGGAGAATAACAAAAAAAAACTAAGTATAAGACGAGCCGAAATGGAAAGAAACAATACAAGAGGACTCAAAGATACTTGAACAGCATATTGCGACCAGGTCGTCTATTGGAGGCATGCAAATGTGATCCCCTCCTTGAATACACCTCAGGACCAAAGCGTATTCCCTCGGAAAATCCACCAAATGACTCCCGTCTCCTCTAAAGGAGTAGTCAAAGTCAAACTTGCCGGGTTCCTGATCAGCAAGTTGCTCTTCGTCGGCCTGCTCGTTTACAGCCAAGTCCGGGGTGAGCTCTGGGACGTTTGCGCTCGGAGCTGGTAGAGAAACCTCATTGCCGACATGAGACTTCTTGCGAGCGGACCCTTCCGCATCCTCAATCCTTTGCCGCTTACCCAACCGAGTTACGGTAAGCTCGTCTTTCTGAGTCTGAAGTGTAACTTGGTCGGCCGGAGAGGCGTACTCAGGAGAGATCACGATTATCTCCTGGCCCGTCGCCATTGCAGATAAGGCACCGACATCAGGCGCCAGCAGAGATCCAGCGCTGGTAGAGGCCCCAGCTTAGGCTTCTTT